GAGCCAAACCGGTGAGGGGCCTGGTGCTGCTGTTTCCTAGCTCTGTGCCCGTCCTTGCAAGGACCCTCCCATCCTGCTCTCTCTCTCCACACATGGGCTGGCATGGCAGCAGCACTGCCTCCCTCCAGGGCTGTGGAGGTCACGGCCTGGCAGGCGCTTGGCACAGTCCATGCTCAGCACGCGTGTCACTGCTCGGGGTGCCAGCTGTTGGCGGCACGGAGTGCCCCTGGGAGGGGGAGAGATGCCGCGTGTACATGAGGTGTCGCTCAGCAAAGCCCTCTCCTGGGGCTCCGGACAAAAGGCCCTGGAGGCCTGAGGAGGAGGAGAATGGGCGTCCATCTATAATAGAACCAGTTTCTTTTTTTCTTTTTTAAATAAATCTTTATTGTTCAGATTATTACAGGTGTCCCTCATTCCCCCCTCTTCCCTCATAGCTCCCCTCCACCTGATTCCCAACTCCACCCCATGCCCTTACCCCAGCCCCTGTCTTCATCCATAGGGGTAAGATTTTTGTCCAATCTCTCTCCTCACCCTGGAACCAGTCTCATGATGCTTTCTCCGAAGTGGTCACCATAGCTGATGGGGGGGGGGGTCTCAGACGAGGGCCCTGAGCTGGACCTTGGAAATGAAGTCACCGGGGAGTGAGGGCACGGGCAGCTAGCAGGAGCCAGCGGGTGGCTGAAGAGGCTAGCAGGACCCGGGTCTAGTAGGTGGTAGGAAAGAACCCAGAAGATGCAGCACCAGGTTCTACCACCAGGGCAGTGCCAGAGAGCGAGGTGGTCAGATTTATGTTTACAAACACAACTCAGCTGTGTCCTGGGGGTTGAACTATACCAGCGAGCCCACAAGCAGGGAGTTTGGATGAAACCATGAACTGGGGCAGTGGCAGCGAGAATGGAGCAGAGAGGACAGGATTGAGAGGGACTTGCAGGGACCAGAAGGCATAGTGACCACAGACACGGGGGGAGGGGGAGGGGGGGCAGGGGAAGCAGAGGAACCCTTTGGGGATGACTTCGCATTCTAGCGTGAAGTAAGAAGCACAGGAAGAGAAGCAGGTCTGGGGAGAAAGATAATGAGTCCGGTGCTATAAATACTGCGTCTGCAGGAAGAATACCCAAGTGGGCAGTTTGGAATGTAACTCTGGGTAGACCCGTCCAGGCTGGTGGGGAGAAGGGAAAACTGGCCTTGCACAACCACACGGCCCAGCTGGTTCTATGGAACAGAACCAGATGGGACAGGTCCCTCCCAGAACCACCTCCACAACAGCAAACTCCTTCGCTGGCTGCACTTAAAACACCTGTGCGTCCGTCCGCACCGCTCCGCCCCTCCATTCAGCCCGTGCAGATTACGTAAGCATCTACGACGTGCTGGTGCTGTTCTTAGATTCTGGGTCAAAACCCTGCCATCGGGGAGTTTATGTTTTAGCACAGGAGACCATCGATAAGCAAGTAACTGAATATTCTAAAATATAAATTTAAGTCAACAGCATCGGGAAAAATAAAGCAGGTAGGAGATCAGACAGTTACCAAGGAGGGGGAGGGGCGGGGGGCGATTTTTAGAAATCAGGAGGCCAGGGAAGCCACCTGTGATGAAGTGCTATTTCAGACGGAGACCTAAGGTGACGGAGACAACAGTGTGAAAGTCTGGAGGCAGTGTGTGTCCGACAGAGGGAAGAGCAAGCCCAGCAGCCCTGAGGTCGGGGCCCGCTCAGGATGATGGGGAGACAGCTAAGCAGCCAGCCTGGCTAGAACAGACCACGTAGTCACAGAGTATCTTGTGCCATTCCTGGCACTTCTGTCTTGTGCTCTTAACTGATTCTGTTGCAAAGACTTCCATGGATTTAAATCCTACCTTCCCAACCCCATGCAAGCCTATTCAGGGCAAGGTCTGTGTTCAAATGTTTCACTCCCATGGTGCCTAGCACAATGCCTGGCACACAGTAGGTGTTCTTTCTCCACCCCTTGGTCTGCGGTTATAATTCGTGGTGACCATGTCTAACATTGCTGTGAGAAACTCAAGACACGCCCAGAGCCACGTGGAAAGCCCAGACGCCAAGAGGTACCCTCCCCTTTTTTATTTTTTTTAATATATTTTATTGATTTTTTTTTTTTTTTTACAGAGAGGAAGAGAGAGGGCTAGAGTGTTAGAAACATTGATGAGAGAGAAACATCGACCAGCTGCCTCCTGCACACCGCCCACTGGGGGATGCGCCTGCAACCAAGGTATATGCCCTTGATCGGAATCGAACCTGGGACCATTCAGTCCGCAGGCAGACGCTCTATCCACTGAGCCACACCGGCTTCGGCACCCTCGCCTTTTGCAAGGGGGTTTTCCCGGGGGCTCTCACGTTGAAGATTGGCATGTGAGGAAACCCCGCACACGCTCAGAGGAGCTGCTGGCTTTGCCGCAGCTCTGCGCTTACACACGACAATAATATTGTTATTACCCCACCGGGGTGTCCTGGGGATGAATGAGACATTTTCTAACCACTTTGAGCTACTCCGCTGGGGGCACTCAATAAGTGGCACAAGTCGCCCCTGCAGTGCCACGGCTGACGCTGATTTGTTGTGATGGGTTTTGTGGTCCAACCGGGCTGGGATTCGCCCACCACCTCACTTCCCATCCACAGCAGACTGGCCGTCCGAAGGCAGTGGTTTTCAGTGGGAATAAATACGAAGCGAAGCTGTCGGCAATCAGAGGCAGACAGGCGGCCGTTGGAAATGTGGTGTTTATTAAGCACTCGCAGTGGCGACACAGAGACCTCCCGGTGTGACACGGTACAGCGACCGCCGGGATCTGAAATGGGCCAAGATCTCCCGCCCCCGCCCCGCCAGGAGCTCCCTGTGTGAGCTCGAGGGAATGGCTCAGCTTCTCGGGGCCTCAGGTATGAAGTAAGGGCCGTCCGATGAAGCTCAGATTCAGTCTTCCCCGAGAAGGCAACTACCTGGGAGGAGTGGAAACAGCCCTTTCGGAGGGAGAGCTGCTGCACCGCTGGTGACCATCCATCACAGGGCCCGCTCCGTTCTGGTCTTCCTTGCAGTTGATTAATATTAATTTCGGTACTAATTCCTGCAAATGGAGAGATAAATCACTTTCTAAGTCGGGCAGAGAGGTGCATGAAACATTTGGGTCTTTAAAAATAGGGTCTTTGCCTTTCTAAGAGCTGTCCTGGCAGTGAGCGCTCTGTCTTATTCTTAGACTTAAATGTACGAATGATGGATTCCACTGCTCCCCACGCCCGCAGCTCTAACACAGGGCGCTGTGTAGCGAGAGAGTGTGTTACCTGGCTGTCTGCTTTGACCATCTGACAATGTGTGTCACAGCCTGCAGGGCCTGGCCCTGCCTGGAGGCGAAGGACAGAAAAGAACACTGGTGCTTGCTGCACCCAGAAGAGGCAGAGGAAACCCCATGGAATTACCAACCGGGGAATGTACCCCTCCCTCCTCCTCCTCCCAGGAATCCGGGGGTCCTGGGCTCAGAGACAAGAAATGCTGACCCTCCGGAGTGGATAGGGATGTAAAGGCTCACTTGCTGAGAAACTCAATTCCACAGACACATAGGAGTGCCTACTAGCGCCCCCGGCAGGCACTTTGGTGGCTGCTGGGAATGCAAACTGGGTGAGACCTAGCCTCAGCTCTCCATGACACCACACACAAACACACACACACACACACGCACGCACGCACGCACACGTTTACTCCAAACTCCCCAGCTCAGGCGTGATGGGTGCGGGAGATGTCTACACAACCACTCCTCTTTTGTAAAGGATCCGAATGATAGAGCAGAAAACACATTTCTAAGCCTGGGGTTGACTCTGAATTGGATTTGCTTAACTGTCCGGAAAGAGAAATTGTGTTCCAAGTGACCAGAGCAATTTGGAAAACTGGTTTCTGTTCAAACGGGGATAACTGCAAGGTCCTATCTCCAGGCCAGAATCAAGCAACAGAGACGCAGGATTGGACCGAATGTTCTCGCAGTGTCATCGCTAACGCCTGGAGAAGCCCCTGCCCCAGCCAGCGGGGACGCAGTCTGCAGAGGGTTTGTGTCCAGGTCTCCGTCACCCCAACACAGACTCAGGACGCCGAGTGCATGTCCTCTGCCCCTCCCCTCTCAGTGAAGCTCAGTCCTGCAGAGACCAGGCTGCCCGCTCCAAGCCCAACCAGAAGCGTGGTCCCCCCATTCTCCCCAGCGACTGGGACGACTGGGACGGGTCTGCGCTGTGGACCTTGGTGTGAACTATCCTCTCCAAAGCCAAGTCCCCGAATGCCCGGAATGACCCATTTTCTCAGACTCCTGGGTGTGAAACCTCACCAGCACCCACCACTCCCTCCAGCGTCTCACCCACACAGGAGCTGCGTTATTCAGAGCCCTCGGGCCTGGAGGTCTCCCTTCCCGGGGGCGCCCACCCACCGCGCCTGCCACCGTCGTCCCCGGACCAGGCTCCGGATCCGGGGCGCATCCCCACCCTCCCTCCCTCCTCGCCCGCCTCCGCCAGCCGGCTGACCCCGGGTCACCCTGCCTCCGCCAGCCGCCGACCTCCGGGCTCCGCACCGCCCGCCTCCCCGCTGGCCCCGGAGCAGACGCGGGGCGGCGGCGCGGTCCGGGCGGCGGAGAAGCCCTGGAACCGGGGCGCGGCCTCGCGGGCCCGGGGCGCGCACACAGGCACGGAGCGGGCCGGAGAGGTGCAGGGGGACCCGGGCGCTCACGGAAGGTGCCTGGGTGCCCGGGGGGACCCGGAGGGCGGCGGCGAGAAGAGGCGGGGCCGGGCGCGGAGGGGCGGGGACCCCGGGGCGGGGAGGGAGGCGGCGGGCGCGCGCCGGGCGGGGGCGGAGGGAGGCGGGGGCGGCGGGCGGGAGGCGGCTCCCTCCGCCCCGGAGCCCGCGGGCCGCGCCGCAGCCAGACGGAGCCCGGCGGCCGCCGCGGCAGCAACAGGCGGCGCGCTGGGCTGGGCTCGGGCGCGGGCGGCGCGGGCGCGGGCGGGAGCCGGAGGGGCCCGCCGCATGGAGGAGCATCTCAGCCTGCTGAGCTCGCCGCCGCCCGCCGCCCGCCGCCGCGCCCCCACGGCCCCGCGCCCCCCCGGCGGCGGCGGCGGCGGCGGCGGCGCCCGCACCCTGCTCCACCCGGGCTACGCCGAGTCCGCCGCGGGCCCCGAGCCGCAGCCCGACATGACCCTGGTGCCCGCGCCCGGGGACCACCTGCTGGAGCCGGAGGCGGCGGGCGGTGCGGGCGGCGGCGGCGGCGGCGGGGACCCGCCGGAGGGCGGCGGCGGCGGCGGGGACCGTGACCGTGACCGCTACGAGCCGCTGCCGCCCGCGCCGCCCGCCGCCGCCGCCGGCGCCCAGGACTGCTGCGGGGAGCGCGTGGTCATCAACATCTCGGGGCTGCGCTTCGAGACGCAGCTGAAGACCCTGTGCCAGTTCCCCGAGACCCTCCTGGGCGACCCCAAGCGCCGCATGCGCTACTTCGACCCGCTCCGCAACGAGTACTTCTTCGACCGCAACCGGCCCAGCTTCGACGCCATCCTCTACTACTACCAGTCCGGCGGCCGCCTGCGCCGCCCCGTCAACGTGCCCCTGGACATCTTCTCGGAGGAGATCCGCTTCTACCAGCTGGGCGCCGAGGCCATGGAGAAGTTCCGCGAGGACGAGGGCTTCCTGCGCGAGGAGGAGCGGCCGCTGCCCCGCCGCGACCTGCAGCGCCAGGTGTGGCTGCTCTTCGAGTACCCGGAGAGCTCGGGCCCCGCGCGCGGCATCGCCATCGTGTCGGTGCTCGTCATCCTCGTGTCCATCGTCATCTTCTGCCTGGAGACGCTGCCCGAGTTCCGCGACGAGAGGGGCGACTTCGCGCCGCCGCCGCCCGAGCTGCTGCGGGAGGACCAGGGCGCCGCCGCCGCGGGTAACGGTACGTCGGGGGCCGGGACCGCCGCCGCCGCCGCCGCCGGGGCCTCCAGCTTCTCCGACCCCTTCTTCATCGTGGAGACGCTGTGCATCATCTGGTTCTCCTTCGAGCTGCTGGTGCGCTTCTTCGCCTGCCCCAGCAAGGCCGCCTTCTCCCGCAACATCATGAACCTCATCGACGTGGTGGCCATCATCCCCTACTTCATCACGCTGGGCACGGAGCTGGCCGAGCGCCAGGGCAACGGGCAGCAGGCCATGTCGCTGGCCATCCTGCGGGTCATCCGGCTGGTGCGCGTCTTCCGCATCTTCAAGCTGTCCCGCCACTCCAAGGGGCTGCAGATCCTGGGCCAGACGCTCAAGGCGTCCATGCGCGAGCTGGGCCTGCTCATCTTCTTCCTCTTCATCGGCGTCATCCTCTTCTCCAGCGCCGTCTACTTCGCCGAGGCCGACGACCCCACCTCGCGCTTCTCCAGCATCCCCGACGCCTTCTGGTGGGCCGTGGTCACCATGACCACCGTGGGTTACGGGGACATGCACCCGGTGACCATCGGCGGCAAGATCGTGGGCTCGCTGTGCGCCATCGCGGGCGTGCTCACCATTGCACTGCCCGTGCCCGTGATCGTGTCCAACTTCAACTACTTCTACCACCGGGAGACGGAGGGCGAGGAGCAGGCCCAGTACATGCACGTGGGCAGCTGCCAGCACCTATCCCCGTCCGGGGCCGAGGAGGAGCTGGGGAAGGCCAGGAGCAACTCCACCCTCAGCAAGTCGGAGTACATGGTGATCGAGGAGGGGGCCCTGAACCACAGCGCGTGCCCGCAGGCGCCCCTCAAAATGGGCAACTCCACCCCGGCCGCCGCCTGCGCCACGAACAGTAACCCCAACCCCAACGCCTGTGCCAACGTCAAAAAGATCTTCACGGACGTGTAACGCCCGGCGCCCAGGACCCGCTGTGCTCCCCGTGGTGTGGACAGTGCCCCCTGGCCTGTGTGCGCCCTTGTTTTTATACATTTCCCGGCCATCCATCCAGGGAAGGACGTGAAGAAGCGGAAAGCACACTTCATCCTCACCCCCTCCCCGGTGCCTGCGCCACCGAGACAGGTGTCTGTTCTGCAAGGGGGCTGCATTCTCTCATCTCTCTCTCTCTCTCTCTCTCTCCCTCTCTCCCTCTCTCCCTCTCTCCCTCTCTCCCTCTCTCCCTCTCTCCCTCTCTCCCTCTCTCCCTCTCTCCCTCTCTCCCTCTCTCCCTCTCCTCCTCCTCCTCCTCCTCCTCCTCCTCCTTCTCCTCCTCCTCCTCCTCCTTCTTCTTCTCCTCCTCCTCCTTTCTCTTCTTTTCTCCTCCTCTCTCCTTCTCTCTCCTTCTCTCTCAATATTGCAAGCAGCAAACTTTGAATTTGATTTCCAGGCCACGCCCTATGGAAGGGGAAAAAAAACCAAAAAATCCAGCCTGTACCTCCCGGGAGGAAATGAAACTGGAGAACCGTTAGAGTGACTAACGCAGAATGCCAAGGCAGCTGTCGCTTTGCTAAGTAAGGCAAGTGCGCGCCTGGAGGATGCTTCCTCTCCGCGGGCCTCGGACTCAGCAGGATGGGGTACTGAGCCCCGACCGGCACTGTGGATGTGTGGATGGAAAGTCCGATCAGAAAGACTTATAAGCCGACTGTGTGTGTATTTGGGTTTTTGGCTGGAATTTCTATTCTATTCGGAAACCCCTGCCTAGAGTTTGAAGGATCTCTGCAACTTTGCCCAAAGGGGTACCTGATCTGACTGGTTCCTGTAACTCTTTGGGGCTTGGTAAGGCATTTCCAAAGCAGGAGACTAACGGATTCCTGTGAAGTTCTGTGTGTGTGTGTGTGTGTGTGTGTGCGCGCCAGCCACTAGAAACAGATGTTTTCAGTGCCGCTGAGAGAAACAAACAAAAAAAATCTCCTATTGCATCTGAGAGAGAAGCTCCTGCGGCATCACAAGGAGATTAAAGCGGCAGACATTCCTTCCAGCGGAAGTTACTAATTCCAACCGGCTGATGCAGTTTCCATAGCAACCCAGGTTTCCTAGGAAACCCGAAAAAGGTTGTCATGGCATCTCTTGCTCTCTGTCCCTGCCCTTCCTAGCCCCTGCCGTTTCCACAGTAACCTTTCCAGATGGTTCCTACTTCACACGATTTCATAAGGAAAAACCACTGTTTGAATAAACCGCACAAATGAAGGCTGAGATGCCAAGATGGTGAGATGACTCACAAAATGCATATATATTTTTACTACAAAAGAAAAGCATTGACATCACCCTCTAATGACTGAATTGAGAAGGAAGATATCATCTTTGGGATGTTAGATTGACACCACAATCGGGCGTGACTTGAATGAAATGTGAGTAACGAGGCAATAATTTCAAAAGATGCTTCTCTGCTGTTTTCTTTCACCAAGAAGTTTCCAGGCAACCAATGAAATAAAAAAAAAAATTTAAAAAGCAGACAGAAGGTGTTCTGTACATAATCCAATGGAAGATTCAATCGGTATACCCGACACCTTGCTCCAAGGGACCTTCAGATGTCCTCTTTAACAGCAGGAAAAAAGAAAAACAAAAACAAAAAACAAAAACAGATTCCACAACACCGTCACCATCACGGCACTTGGAAAGCTAAATAAAACCGCACATTAGGAAGGATGCGTGTTTGTGACTGAGGGAAGGGCAGTCAATAAAAAGGAGGGACGGGAAGTGACCGGAGCTTGGGGCGATGCCGTCACGTTCCAGCCAGGTGCCCGGGCTGCCAGAAGACAGATGGACCCAGGTGAGCAGCGTGGGGGCTGCCAAGCGCACTGCCTTCTTGTCCGGGGCAGCGGGCAGTGCCATTCGTGTCCTGATTGGTGATATTTGCAAAACCAGTAGTTCTGTGTGAATTATCTGCTGGGTGCCTTTTTCTGATCATTTGGGACACTGTTTCCATTTGATTTCCGGGCTGCTAACTGTCCTTCCACTGTTTCCTGAAAAAAAAAAAAAAATCATTGCTGTTTAGCCTTCCCCCACACTGACCTGAAAATGGTGCCATTCCTTTCACTAACCCACTTGGCTTCTGAACAGCCTGTTTCCCCTTACAAAGGAATTAAAAGGCAGAAGCTACTGCCGTTAGCTGATTGTCCCAGTGTTCATGTGCATCATTTGGTAGCACAATTCTCTGAGACAAAATGGTCAAAATGGCAATGAAGGTAACATTTCCCTTTAACATAAATAACTGCATACACATTATAGACATGCATTTCTCACAATAATTTTTTTGGTTTTGATAGGTTGTAAGTAATTATCTCCTAGAGTCGATGAGAGTAGTCCTATTTTAAAGCTTATAAAATACTTTCAGGCAGTCAGAAGCCTATTTATGTTAGTTACTGTTGGTGCTTTAAGACAATGAAACATAATAGTAAAACAATAAAAGAGGGAAGAGAAAAGAAATCTGCATGGCTGGTCTTAGCATCATTGTTCTTACCTCTGTGCATCGAGATAGGACCCATTTGCCTAGTTTCTTTTGCTGCTGATTTGAGTTGCTTTTAACATGGATCTACCTTTTGACCAATTTGTGTTGATGATCAGGAATTCTGTGTATGACCTCTGTTGGTGGTTACATGCTAGACACACACTAGTAAGAACATAAAGATAAATTCTGTGTCTGTTTTTAAAATACCTTAGGGATGAACAAAGGGTTTTATTCATGTTTTTAGAAAGATGTAGAAAAGCTCTAGAAGTAGCCGATGGTTGTGCCACAATTTTTGGAATTGTATGGCTATTAGATAACAGTCATACAAATGAGATCCTTTTTTTTAAAATCCAGAGAAATATGGCTTTAGAGTCCCAGCTTTGGGGTAGTATAATTGCTTCTAATTGCCATAGTGTTAGCTTCTTGAGGGTTATAGGTTCTATGTCCAGCACAGAATGTAGCTTCTTGTATGTACTTCCTACATACCTGTATTTGATGGGTCAATCATGATGATGTTACATTAATGTTCTTCTCAGGCTTTTAGTGAAGTGGCTTAATGCATAAGCTCTGCAGTTGTATTGCCAGGGCTCTGAATCCTGACTCTGCTGTTCGACATTGAGCAAATTACTGAACCTCTCTGTGCCTCAGAGTCCTTGTTTGTAAAATGAGGATAATAAATAGTACCTCCTGGGGTTGCTGTGACTGTTCATTGTTAATTCGGGTATACTACTCAGAAAGGGTAAGATGCATGCTATGCAGCAGAGATTTTCTAAGAGATTACATGACTGCATTATATAATTTGCTAAGAGATTGCATTATTATTGTGATCATTATTCACTCTCTTTGTGTAATTAATACCGAACTTGGTGAATGATATGAAATACATAATCAGTGTCTTCCTATTTACGTTCTACATCACAGAAATAATTCCCATTTATTAAAGGTCACCGTGTCCTTGACACTTAACTCAGCAGGTTTGTGGTATTAACCCCATTTTAGGAGGGTAAGAATAGATGGTTAAGGTTAAATGATTTCCCTGAGATGCCACAGCTAGCAAGAGACCCAGCTATAATTTAAATTTAAAACCAAGTCATTCTCCCTCCACCACCAACACCTGTACCTTTAATTGGATGACTTGAAAGAGATTGAGCAAAGGAATTCCTTATGCTTTCAGATTTGACTTCAGCCCATGTTACTAATCAATGAATTCCTATAAAGAGCCCATCTCCAGAAACCTACTTCTTTCCTGGAGATGAACCCTTTTCTAATCATCAGATATATTTAAGCCACAGGAATCGAATATACATTATTCAAATTGGACGAAGAGGTAGGCTTTTCCAGGAGAAAGGGTGACTTTCTTATATGAGGGATGTATCTGGACTTGCTACTGTGCTAAGAAAGTGTAGTCAGTCACAGTGGTGGCCTCTGCTAAGACAATGGATATTTTCCAGTTTGAAGATTCATTTCCTACTTCTAAGTGTTTTCTTCTACAGGTGATGGCATTGTGCAAATTGTTATTTTCCCGCCTCCTCGCCCTTTGCTGAGGTTCCTAGCGATCCATGCCAGCAAGTGGTGTAAACATTTTGACTCCCTCTTCCCAAGAAGGAGGAATTACTGGGAACAAAAGGGTTGAAAGCAGGGGAGTGCCGGTTCATTGCAGTTGGTGGCATTGTTGCTTTATAAGAGCATTCATCCGCAGCAAAACATTAGAATATAATTTTGTCCCACAAAATAGCCGTAGCCTCTTCTCTCATGTCCGAAATCCAATTTAGCGAAATGAAAATGGGCAGTGATTTGGACTTAAGAGCAAAAATGCTAATGAGTCTAAGTTTGCACAGGCCAGAGAGCCTTGCAAACCACAGACTTCGGTGCTGAGCATGTCTTGGATGTTGGACGGTGCACATACATAGGTCTGTGTGTGCAAATGATCCGTGGAAGGAGGGGCGACCGGATCAATACACACCCGTCCACATGCTGAGGGAAATCTCTATACCCGCAGCTGGTGAACCTAGAGATAAACATTAATATTATTTTATTTCTTTCTTTAAAAATATTTTTATTGATTTCAGAGAGGAGGAAAGAGGGTGAGAGAGATAGAAACATCAATGATGAGAGAGAATCATTGATTGGCTGCCTATCTTTGATCAAACCTGCAACCCAGGCATGTGCCCTTGACCGGAATCGAACCTGGGACCCTTCATTCCGCAGGCCGACTCTACGCACTCAGCCAAACCAGCTAGGGCTATTTTATGTCTTTTATGGTGTTACCAAATTTAAATGCCCACCAAACATAGTGACCTAACCACCAAGGGCTACACATAAGAAGGCCATGTTATATCGGTTATTTCTAAACTTTGCAATACAATGTCGGAGTTGACACTTTAAATGCACAGGATGAAGAAATTGAAAGTTATGGTTTATTGACGTAACACATGTTACTAACCTCTGTGCCATGTAATGTACT